AACATAAGATAAACAAGTGCATTTTGAATACGAATAGGATTTTGTGTGTGATTTAAAAATCTATCTTGATCATGATTATCTAAAAATGTTCCACATAATGTTGGATCTTTAAAATAAATTTCATTTTGTTGAACTTGTTCTTCTAAAGTAAACATTGATTGTCTTGTTGGATTATCATCTGTAAAAACAAGTTTTAATACAAAATAAAGTGGATAATGAAGAACACCATCAGCAAAATATTGATATGATCCAACATACGATGTATTCGATGTTGCCACTTCACCTACTGAATAAACACCAGCTTCATAAGTATAATTTACCCAAAAAGATTGTCGAATATGGCGAAATGTATCAATACGAATTCCATCAAAATTATATTTTTCAACTGTTTCTTTTATCCATGATACTAATGTTGTTATAACAAAATTATTTTCTGTATTTAAATCAGGTAATGGAAGTTGAACACTACCAACTGAACAAAATTCATCCTTAAATTAGAAAAATAAATAAATAAATAAATTTGTTTAGTTTATTTACTTGTGTTTGATTATCATAATCTTGAATAAAACATAATGGTTGATGAAAATATTCTGGTTTATTAAAAGGAAAATAATTTGTTGAAACATTTGGTCCAACATGATTAGCAACAACATCTAACATAATCCAAATATCACGTTTATGTGCTTCATTAATAAACTCGATTAAATCATTTTCACTTCCAAAATATTTATTTAGTTGATAAAGATGATTCATCCAATATCCATGAAAACCAACACCATACATTGTTTCACTATCAATATTTGATGGAATTGGTGATATCCATATTGCATTAAAACCCATTTGTTCAATATAATCTAATTGATCAATAGCACCTTGATATGTTCCAGCACAATAATTTCTTGATGCATTTTCTGATAAAGGATTTTCTATACATCGATTATAAGTATAATTCGATGGAGAAAATCTATCCGTAAGAATTTGATAAATTGATCTTGAACGCCATTCAGATGCATTTTTACAACTTATTATTGTAATAAATAAGCATAACAAAGAAATTTTTATCGTCAACATTTTGCTATTAGAAATTGTGTATTAATATGAAATATACACACGTATATATATATACCGATTTGAAAACGTCTGTTTTTTATCATAAGAATAGACATAAGATTTATTTTCTATACACTGTATTATACTAAGAAAGGTTGTTTAGTATGTTTTACCTTCACAACAACAAAAATAATGATTCATTTTATATAAAAATATTTCTTTCTTTGTTATTCATCTGTAATACGTAATGATCTTGACAGATGCATATAATATATTCAAGTATGGCAAATGTCTAATAGTTAATGACATCTGTCATAAAATATATTTGTATTGGATAATGTTCAAATCAATGAACATATTCTTCGTCGTTGATTTATTTCTTTGGAATAGAAAGAAAAGAAAAGAATATTTAAAAAGA